ATAAAATACAACATCTTTTCATGATAAAAACTTTTAGCAAATTAGGTATAGAAGGAACATTCCTCAGTACAATCAAGGCAATATACAACAAACCCAGTCAGCATCATACTGAATGAGGAAAAGCTGGAAGCATTTCCACTAAGATCTGGAACCAGACAAGGATGCCTACTTTCATCGTTGCTATTCAATACAATCCTGAAAGTTTTAGCCAGAGCCATTAGGTAAGAAAAAGAAATCAAAGAGATACAAATCAGAAAGAATGAGGTCAAATTATCCCTGTTTGAAGATGACATGATTCTATATATAGAAGGACCAAAAGACTCCACTAAGAGACTGTTGGAACTCATAGAGGAGTTTGTTGAAGTTTCAGATATAAAATTAACACACAAAAATTCATAGCCTTTGTATACACAGACAATTTCATGGCTGAGAAAGAACTTGTAAGATCAGTCCCATTCACAATAGCTACAAAAAGTTATAAATATCTTTGAATACATTTTTTAAAGATTTATTTTATTTATTTGAAGATAGAGTTACAGAGAGAGGTAAAGACACAGAGAGAGAGGTCATCCATCTGCTGGTTCACTCTCCCAAATGGATGCAATGACTGGATCTGGACCAGCATGAAGCCAGGAACCAGGAGCTTCTTATGGGTCTCCTATGTGCGTGCAGGGGCCTCAGCACTTGGGCCATCTTCTGCTGCTTTTCCAAGCACATTAGCAGAGAGCTGGATTGGAAGTGGAGCAGCTGGGCCTTGAACTGGCGGCCATATGGGGTGCTGGCACTGTAGATTGGGGCTTTATCCAGCTGTGCCACAGTGCCTTCCCCACTTTGGAATACATTTAATCAATAATGTGAAAATCTCTCCTTTGGAAATTGCAAAACATTAAAAAAAGAAATAGAGGAAGACAAAAATGAAAAAATCTTCCTTGTTTCTTGGATTGGAAGAATTAATAACATCAAAATGTCCTTCCTACCAAAAGCAACTTACGGATTCATTGCAATGTGAATCAATCCCAGTGACATATTTCACAGATCTAAAAAAAGAATGATGTTGAAATTCATATGGAAATATAAGAGACCTGAATATCCAAAGTAATCTTAAACAACAAAAACAAAGCCAGAGGCATCACAATACCAGGTTTTAAGACATACTACAAGGCTGGCGCCATGGCTCAATAGGCTAATCCTCCGCCTGTGACGCTGGCACCCCGGGTTCTAGTGCTGGTCCGGGTGCCGGATTCTGTCCTGGTCGCTCCTCTTCCAGTCCAGCTCTCTGCTATGGCCCAGGAAGGCAGAGGAGGATGGCCCAAGTCCCTGGGCCTTGCACTTGCATGGGAGACCAGGAGAAGCACCTGGTTTCTGGCTTCAGATCAGCACGGTGCGCTAGCCGCAGCGTGCTGGCTGCAGCAGCCATTGGAGGGTGAACCAACAGCAAAAGGAAGACCTTTCTCTCTGTCTCTCTCTCTCACTGTCTACTCTGCCTGTCCAAAAAAAAAAAAAAAAAAGACATACTAGCATAGAAATAGACATGTAGACCTATGGGACAAAATAGAATTCCCAGAAGTCAACCTGTGCATCTACAACTGGTGAATCCTTGACAAAGGACCTAAAATCAATCCCTGGAGAAAGGCAGTCTCTTCAATAAATGGTGCTGTGAAAATTGGACTTCCACGTGTAGAAATATGAAATAAGACCTCACACTTTATACAAAAATCAACTCAAAATGGATCCAGGATCTAAAACTATGACCTGATACCATCAAATTACTAGAGGAGAACACTGGAGAAGCCCTGCACGGCATTTACATAGGCAAAGCCTTCTTGAAAAAGATCCCAGAAACACAATCAAAGCAAAAATTGACAAATGGGATTACATTAAGCTATGATTCTTCTGCACAGCGAAGTAAGCACTTAAAGTAAAGAGGCAGTGGACAGAATGGGAGAAAATATTTGCAAGCTATGCAATTGATAAAGGAATAATATCCAGAATCAATAAAGAGTTGAAGAAACTCAACAGTAACCAAATAGACAGTCCAGTTTGAAATGGGCAAAGGGCTTCAAAAGTCATTTTTTAAGACAGGAAATTCAAATGGCCAACATACACATGAAAAAATTCTTAGGATCACTAGCCATCAGGGAAATGCAAATCAAAGCCACAATGAGGTTTCACCTCACCCCATTAGAAAGGCTCTCATACAGAAATCAACAAACAATAAATCCTGGTGAGGATGTGGGGGAAAAAGCTTCCTTAATTCACTGTTGGTGAGAGTGTAAACTAGGATAGCCATTGTAGAAGACAGTATGGAGATTCCTCAGAGAGCTGAAAATAGTTCTACCATATGATCTAGCCATCCTGCTGCTGGAAATCTACCCAAAGACATGAAATCCATATATGAATGAGTGATCTGTACCCCAGTGTTTATTGTAGCTCAATTCCCAATAGCTAAGATATGGAGTCAACCCAGATGCCCATCAACCAACGACTGGATACTAGAATATGGTATAAATGCACTTTGGAATATTACTCAGCTATAAAAAAGAATGAAATCCTGTCTTTGCAACAAAATGGATGCAGCTGGAAACCATTTTGCTTAGTAAAATAAATCCAAAAAGACAAATGCCATATATTTTCCCTGATCTGTGGTAACTAATAGAATATAAAAATGTAGTGTATAATTATGTCATTGCAGTCTGCATAAAATTATTCCTGTGTGTAAACTGTTGTGAGATAATTGCTTAAAGTCTAAATGAATTTAATTATTATCTTGGAAACAAAAGAAATATTAGGTGTTGCATTGTTGTTTTTTCTATTTCCTTGAAGACTGAGAGACCAGGATAGATTACACAAAGTCACAGAACCGGAGCAGGCTCCCATCTCCCCTCTAAGTGGTCTAATCTTTGTGTGCATTCATTTATGTGCTTGGTAACAGTCTGGGAAGTAGTGCAGTGCCCTTGAGCTAGAATTTGATCCTTGGGTAGGGCGTTAGTGGCCAGAAAGGAAGAGGAGCTTCGGAAGAGAAGGCGTGTGAATAAACAGATGAAATCTCAGCGAGGAGCATTAGTCTGTTGGAGCTGTAGGAGAGCCTCGATCCCCTATTCACTTCATAGATGAAGACACGGGGCCTGCAAGAGGGACAGCGTTTGAATTTTGAGCCAGGGACCAGGTAAACAGCAACTTCTGACCAGGTGACAAGATTTCTCTCTACCTTAGTTTCTTCCAGAGAATGGAGAGCTGTATTCTCTGGATGAAGAGGAAAGTTTGGATTTCAGTCCATCCTGAGTGATTGACTATGTAACTGCTGAGAGTGCATCAAAGGAAAGATGAAAATGGAGAAAAAAAAAGATAAGGAAAAGAGGAAAACATAGGAGAGGGGGGAAGAGAAGAAAGAAAGGAAGGAGGAAAAATGCTAATCATGGGCCGGATCTTCTGCCAAACTCATTATGTGAATTGTCTCCTTTAATCATCATATCAAACCTATGAGCAAGCAAAGTATTGCCCCATTTTACACGCGTGCACAGGGCCTCAAAATGGTTAGGTGTCTTGCCCAAGACCACACATGCAGCTAGTGATGGGACCAAGTATCAAACCCACAGTTGTTGGTCTTCATTGTTTGTGCTCTGAACAACCTCACTGAACACAGGGAGAGCACTCGGGCCAGCTTCTCCTTTGACCGCTAACATCTTCTGTGTCAACGCCCTGTCCAGTGCTGTTCCTCGCAGCCTGTTTTTTCGGAGATTGATGAATGTTCCAGGCATCATGATTCTCACTTAAGATTTCACTTAACCTTCATCTCTAATGTTGTGATAATTAGTTCAGTTTTGCAGGACAGGAAGTTAGGTTGGGGAGTTCAGCAAAATGAATTCAGACTTTCCTAGCTTATAGAACATAGAGTTGGAATTCAATCCAGTTCCTTCTAACTCCAAGTCCAGGTTATGTCCCTTATCTCATGAGTTTCCAGGCTGCAGAAAGAGAGGGTTCCTTATGTATAATTGAAGGCCACCTGGGCTGTGTCAGCCATTTCTTGTTTTGGGGGGAGCTGAGAGCTTTGTTTTTCTATGCACCTGAAATTCCTCACCTGCCTTTTATCCTGGAGCCAGTTTTTAGGACAGAATTTGACCAGTAATTTAAGAACAAGATGCCCAGGCTACACATGTCCTGCCATAAACTTAACATTGCAGAGGTATCTAGGCCCTGCAATCTGTCTGCATAATATCCTTCCTTTGTAAGGAAAGATATTAGGAAAAAGATGACTCTAATGGGAGGGGATAGGACGGGCACCTCTGTTTTCATATGATAACCATCTGCTTAAGGAGTGAGAGCTACTAATTGGTCTCTCACCTTCAATGTAAAAAATGCACCTCCAGCTATTGTACAGTTCACGCATCACAGTCTACATTAAATGAACCTTCAAGTGGTGGCATGGATCACAACTTCTTTTCTCTCTTTCTTTCTTTCTTTTTTTTTTCTGTCATAGAAATTGAAATGACTGCCAGGAAGGCATGGAGAAAGCTTGTGTGACAGATGGAGGAATTTCTGAGGCCAGGGAAGTCTGTAATTTATCTTTCTTAGGGCTGGTACAAAGCACTCTCCAAAGACTGCAACGTGGAGTGCTTGGGAAGTTGGCCCGTGAGATGCTGAGTGTGGATGGTCTGAGACCTCTGGGATTTGGGGATCAGGATCAGGAAAACTCCTTGTCCTCATGAAACTTACAGTTGCCTAGTTCTTTCTGTGTAAAGACAGGTTCTGAAAGAAAGGCTGACTTTCTAACCAGGCAGGGGAAGTGCTACTCAACATAGGATGATTTAAGAGCATCTTAAAGACCCTCCCTTCTCTCCATCAAACATGAAACAACGATTCTGTCAGGTTGTTTCAGTGTCTGAAATACCGACATCAGAAGTGTATTACTGATACATTCTGATTTTGAATTTAGGAATAGTCCTTTTGTAACATGCACACTCTCTGCAGTGAACACCTCAATGTGTCTTTTTTTTCCCCAGACATCTCAGAACAAAGCACTGGGCAGCCGACACTGGGCAGCAGGAAACACAAGGTATGGACAGACAAGGTAACATTACAATGGTCTTCAGGGCTGTTGTGTTTGAACATTCAGACAAGATCAGCTGGTATGGAGCATCTGTTTCTGCAATGGCGATGTTGTAGGCACCTGGCTTGCCTGCTTGGCAGGGTCCATGAGCACCCCTGGTTTCCCCCTCCACCATAGCTCCCTGACTTTCCCAAGAGGTAACTAGACTCATAATTACTGTAGCCAACTGATTACCCTGATGAAAGTGGGTTCTTGGGTTCTTTTTTATTTTTTTCCCCAAAGCAAACATCCCAGTTGAAATTCGTTTGCTTTTTGGTTCTTCAATTTCATTTGGCTGAACCAATGAAGAAGAGGATGGTCACAGGAAAAAGAGATAGAAAGTCCTCCCAGCATGGCTAAGGGAATGATCAAAACCCTTGACCAGCTCCAGGATTCTCCTGTCTCTTCAGGTGACTTCCAGGCAGTGACCTGAGTCATAGCCCCTGATCCTGCCGACACTCCCAGGTGAAATGTCCTCCACCATCCTTTCTAACTGTAAAGTTCTCCACTGCCTTCCAGGCTTAGAGTTAGACTCGTGTTCTCCATAAAGTGCTTCCTTTCCATTCTTGTCTTCTGACCCTTTACTGTTGCCTTCATTTTCTTACACTCATTATTTTAGTGCTCTGTAGGATTAGACACCAAGTTCACAGGCATTCCTTGTGTTTCTCTAACTAAACTGTAAGCCCCTCAAGGAGAGGGACAGTGTCTTATATATTTCTAATGTTCATGAATTACATGCACTGTAGAATTTTTAAAATTGGAGCGAATTGACTCATTTATCTGTAATTCAGCTGTGATACTAAGTTGCCAACCTTGGGTTGGAATGAACAGTGCCCAAGGATATAAGAAAAATATTGAAGTTGATCAAGTCTTCAGTAGAACAGCTTCACTAGAAACCATAAATTCCCCCTGAGGCTGGGAGGAAGAACATGCTTTGAATACATAACCCTGTATCACTGTGAGGAAGCAGGTGAGAAAAGGTGAATGGTGATTTAGGGGGAAGGAAGAGGAAATCAAAGGAGGTTAGGAAACTGGAGACTGTATTTTGAGACTATAACCAAGAGTGTACTTCATCAACACGTGTTTCGAGAGCCAGTGTGGTGGAGCCATGTGTGGTTGTAGGCAGAAAATGACAGCAAGAACAATACCAACACTGGGGCAGTAAAGAAGTTACTCGGCTGATGAGGTGTGAGCTCCGGGGACCATCAGGAGTGAAGAGCAGGAATATTTCCGAACAGTTGTGGAAATGAGAACAGCTGTGTTGGAGGCCCTAGGCAGAGAGACTAGAAAATACGAGGCAGGCATACCTTGGGCAAAAGGTAGTGTGAAACCAGCCAGGGTGGGTCTTGAGGACTACTAGGTGGGCTTAGACACCAGTACTCAAGAGCACCTGTGCGGATGAGGGTCTTGACTCATTTTCCTGCTCAGGAACGAGGGAGCTCCCCAAGGGGAGGGAATGTTGAGGAAGTGAGACTACTGAGAGTCTGCCCGGTGGCTGGGTATTAATTGCCCTAATCTGCTGATGTGAAGGCTCCAGCACATCCATCCCTGGGGGCAGATTGTGCCTGGGATAAAGACAGAATTGGGACTCTGAAGGACAAAGGACAAGTGGTTGGCCAATCGTTACCCCTCCATTCCCCAAATCACTCATCAAACATGGGAGAATGTGGTGCCCTCACAGGGAATGGTAAGTGGGTTACTTCCGTCTGGCCATATTGGTTGTTTTTAGCTATGCTGGAGTTTTCTTAATTCAAAGGATGAGCTTTGATGTTGCTGCTAGAGGGAAAATGGTCTGAACTTGGGAAACATCCAGAAGCCCCTGGCGAGGCTTTCATTCTGTTTCTGGGACTGATTCCTATCCATGTCCTCAGGCACAGCACTCTATTTTCCCATCTATAAAATGGGATAATGACTGTGCTCTGACAGAGATACCATGGGAATAAATCCATTTACCAGAGCTTTCCCTTTGAAGTCAATAGGATGTGTTATCATTACTATAAACACTCTTACACTCCACTCCCTTTGAAGACATAGGAAAAATCCTGGAGGCATCTCAAATACATTTAATTGAGTCCACTTTTCTCCCAGCAGAATTATAGAAGGGATGGCTAAGGTGCTTGAGTGGGAAGAAGCAACCATGTGGGTGGAGGAGGAATAAAATAGCAAAGACAAATTCAAATTCTAATAGGAATCAAAAGACCAGTAATAATGATGTTAGCCATTGCCAGGAGCACCACAACCACCCCCCTGCCCCACTCTGTCTTTTAAATACAGAGGTCCTTCATAAGCTGCTGTAAACACTGACAAAATATGTGGGTGGTCTCTGGGGCTGGAAGCTGGTTCCCAGCTTACAGGTGGGAAAAAGAGATCATAAGAGCCGTTTGCTGGTCAAATGAGGAACCCGGAATTGAAAGCTTTGCCTCCAAAGGCAGGTTTGTAGCCCCTGTATCCTACTTTGTGGGCTCAACAGCAATTATTAGGCAAATTCCAACTTTCACACGCATGCATTTATTATCCAACATTCAACCCCAGCATTAAGCCTGTGTGTAATTTTTTTTTCTTCTTCTCCATTTTTTCCCCCTCTTTCCTTTTTCTTCTTTCCGGGCTGATTCTATTAATTTCCCCCAATGGCACGTGCAGCCCAGCAGTGACGCAGCCATTGATGATCTCCTTATTCATCTCATAGCAGAGAGACCATTTGGATGAATATACGCTGCCCATTTTCTTTGCATTATAAATTCAGTGTTGTGGGGGAAGGAGCAAATTTTAATGGTAAGGCCTCCACAGAGAAATGTCCCCCTTTGAGAATGGCAGTTTTATCGGGGGGAACAATTGACAGACTCTCAGTACAGTGGGCACATTTTTCTGTACAACTGCATCACCACTAATGATAAATGAAGAGTGTTTGATAGCTGGCTCCGTTGTCTGACAGCTACAGTTTTGGCCAGAGGGCCGTGGCAGGCTTTAGACTTCTGTTCAAAATGAGTTAAACATATTAGGCATTATGAAAGCACAGAAGCCTGGAGAAGGAGTGCTGAAATGAGTGAGCCGGGGAGGCTCCTGGGTACACAACTTGCAAAGCAGATGTCATTCTAATAATGTGTGATATAGAACATGCCTGGCCTAAACCCTGCTGGATGAAATATGAAGCCCCGTTGGTGATATTTAATACCATTTTATGAGGTGCCATCTTATAAAGACAATGCCCGCCTTATGTGGAATGCTTAAGGTATTTTGCCAAAGGCACAGGGAGGTATCTGGAGTAAGTAGAATTTTTATTATTTTATAAGCCTTTACTTTGTAATATTTCTGTTTCCACATTATTGTGGGGGCTTGCTGCCCTAACCCTTTGTCGAGTGAACTTGATGAGCGGCTTGCAGGAGATTGACGGATAGCCCTTGCTGTTTCTGGAAGAAAAGACTAGCTCCTACCTAAAAGCATTCTTCAGAAAACCCTCAAAGAAGATATACAACTTGGCTACAAGCATTCTTCGAGCAGGGACTTTGAGGCTGGCCTACAAAAATATTGCCATTTTTAAGTAGACCATTTTGAGGGTAATAGCGGATTTGGATGGGCTGTAGCTGCCTTCCATACTTTCTCCTTCCTCTACGGTTTTGGACGCTGGGAACCCACCAAAGTATTCTGATCTTGGGGATCCCCTGAGATAGTTGAGGCTTGTGATTTGGAGCCATAGCGTCAGGGTGGGGCTTGCTGCTCCTAAATCCTAGAAAAATCTCAGCATGTGAACAGTGATTGCCCGGGGCTGGGAGTGATTCCCAGGGGAGGGGTGTGGGATGTGAGGTGCTTTGCTGGCAATGAGGGCCCGGTTTCAAATAGATCACATTTGCGTTTGTCTTCTAAGTGCCTTCACATGTACCACCTCACCTGGCCCATCAGGCACTGCAGAAGTTGGGAAGCATACGCCAGAGCAGACTCAGGGTATGGAAGAAAGACACACACACTGCAGTTCTGCGGTAGTGCCTGTTCTCATCCTGACGTTCCGGGAAATGACGTTTCTTTGAGGATCCATTAGGGGAAGGGTTCTCTATTGCTTATAGATGCAATGGCTGATGAGGAAGAGACTTGCTTTTTTTGTGTGTGTGTTTGTCAAAATCAAGAGATGTCTTCATTTTTTGAAAACTTGGACCCTCTGGGGAAATAGAAGCCATACTAAGGAAAGAACGTTTGAGTACATGCACCAAGTAAGAATGATCATGGACCATTAGTTCAAAATTCAGGACAAGCTCTGCCTAACAAGTTATGAGTTTAGGTAGTGCTCTTTGGTAACTAGAAAACTTAGGACCGATGCCCAGAGCTTGTTGGATGTGTGCGGCAGTTCATTAGTACAATTAGTACATTAGGCAATTCTTTAGTACACATTCACCTCTTCGGCACCTCCAGCGGAGCTATTTGCTAATGTACTGTTTGGTCTTTGATTTCCAGTGGATTGATACCGATCATTTTTGTTCTTGTTATTGTATATTTGACTAAACATCTAGTAATTGCTGGAAGATGGCTTCAAAAGAAGGGAATTGTCTTTCTGTTCTTGAAATGCACACCTTGGGACTACTGGATGAAAGTGAGACATTGAAAAAGTGTGCTGTTGAATTAGCTGTGTGTAACACATCTGCACAGGGCTGGGGGAGGATCATTAAAAATGAAAGCACTCTACATTCAGATTGCTTTGCAAATGTCTTAGTTCTCACCTGGCTTTAAAGAAACTGAGATAAGAAATTGTAGCAGGTGGAAACAATGGGTGTGGTTTAACCAGGAAAGACAACAGGAACTCCAAACAGCTGATTCAGAGACAAAGTTTAGGTTTACATCAGAAAATTGGCAAATACCCTGTTTTCATAAGTTTTAAGCTAAGCTTATAAAATGTTTAATCTCTGTGTGGATGACTTTCGGAATTGCATGCTTTCACAAACTTTTTCCATTGATCAGCCACTGTAGGTCCTCTTTGGAGAGAATCTGAATTTATTCAAATTCAAACTGTTGATGGAATGTCAAGTATTAGAATGGTTGCTTTCTTAGATGAACTGAAGTTCATACCTGTTTTTCAGGAAATTGGAAAAAGTTTGATTTTCAAAATAGAAGCACAACATGAAGGAGTAGGGGAGAGAGCATAGGATTTGGAACTTAGTACAAATAACCTTGAGCAGGTACGTCACTTAACCTTTCTGAACCTTTCTCCTCATCTGTAAAATGAGGATAATGATATCCTTCCCTTACTATCTTGCACCATTGCTCAGACTAGTGAATGATATAATATTCAACCTTTAGCACTCTCTATGGATTACATAGATCCATAGGGAGTTGCTCTGTTGCTGCTGTTGCTATTGCTGTTACTATTACTGCTACAACTAATTATTG